CACACACACACACACAGACTCATTGATTAAATTGTGTGTGTTGTGACCTCTGACCTCTGGGAAGTTGCAGCTGAAACAGGAGGACCAGCAGCACTTGGAGCAGGTCCCCATGCTGCCCATGTTCTCCTTACAGAGGATCTGATCGCAGCCCTGAGGGTTGGTGCACCACGTCAGGTTGGAGCAGCACTCCACGTAGCCTCTGAGCAAGGCATTCTCATACTGCCAGAGAGGAGCAGGGCGTCAAAACACAGCGACAGAAACACAGTGGGAGGTTTCACTCTGAGGCTGTCGTGGTGACGGGAGGGTGGCGTTACCTTGGCAATGGTGTCCTTGTCGGTGAGGATGCTGAGGAAGAACAGGGAGGTGGGCTGAGCCTGGCAGTCTGTGATTGGACAGTTACAATTCATCACCAGGTTCTGCTCGATCCTCGCCGTCAGGTACTCCTGCCAGCACGACTGCACCACAAACACAGGGAAACAGGGTCAGGACCAGAACAACACCGGACCACCATCGCATTCTAGACCTGAGTCTGAGAGAGTCTGACCTGGCAGCAGTAGTGCATGCAGCTCAGCGATGGGACCGGCTCCGTGGTGGGGGTGCGGGGGCCCAGGCAGACGGGGCAGGTGGAGGCGGGGCTCGGCGGGGGCTGAGGGTTTCGGAACTTGAGGCCGGCGGCCATGATGAGGGTGTCGGGGTCGTCGGTGTATCGCTGCACCAGCAGGTCCACGTTCCACTTACAGTGAACCAGGAGGTGCTCGGCCCGGTCCAGGTCTAGACTCAGAGTCCCGGACACCTGACGGGACAGAGAGGGACTAGATCACCTGTCTGACACCTGAACACACCTGAGACCTGATACAGGTTAAAGACTACAAACCATGAGTCTCTTGGACTGTTTGTGAGACATTCTCAGAGGTCTTACAGATTAGGGTATATTCAGCCAATAAGATCTCACCTGTTGGACGGTCCTCTGCATCAGCTGACGAACCTCCTCCTGTGTCATCGTCCGACCCATCGAGAACAGGACCGCGTCCAGGACGCCGTCCTCGAACTGCCGCGGCGCCGACATAAGACTGCAACACAAAGACGTTGACAGAGAGCGGTAACTGATGACACTGCTGTCAGCGAGCTCTCCTTCTCTGGTTTTATTGAATCAATGTTACAGATGAAATAAGAAGGTAAATTCAACGCTGACGACTGAAGCTTGAATCATTATGAACTTAATTTTCCCACTGAAGCAGTACAACTGGACAAAGTGCCGTTTAAAAAGAAGCAATAATTGTGGAGTTGGACTAAATTTAAATCTGTTTCATGCAGGAACAAGAAGAACGAACAGATTGAAAAGTCCTTGAATTTGATGTTTAAGAAGGCGTAGGAACCCGGTTTCTTACAAAGACTTTCCAGGTCCCATTGTCTCAAAATCAAGGACCCGACATATATCCAGGTTAATAAGAACAGCAACACAACTGCAGGAGGTCAACTACAGCCGGACGCTGCACTGACTAACATTACGGACTAAATATATTATTAATATTTTCTAAAAAACTTTCAAGGACCCTGGAGAACCCAACAGGTCTCGTTGAGGTTTTTCTGCCTAAAAGTTTAATGTTTTCCACTGAAATTAAGATATATATATATATAATATATATATATAATATATATATAATATATAAATAATATACATACATACATACATACACATATTATATTCTATGTGTAAAGCTACAGACTCACATGGTGTCTCACTCTCTCTGCCTGTGTTGTATCACCTCGTAGTGAATTCAGGATTAATTTCCACCAAACCAGAGTTGGTGATTGTTTTAAGAGAGAGAGACGGTTTTAATGACTTTGATTCTGTTTTATTGATTCTCTGCGAGGTAAAATCACTGGTTTTGTGAATGGAGTCTGGCTCGAGTGCGACCTCTAGTGGCGGTGAAGGTCGTATTAAAATCTCCCAAAAATGATCTGGACGCTGAAATGATTTAATGTTTGTTGTTGTGAATATTTTACATATTATTAAAATAATTGCTCTAGTTTGTTGTTGATTATTGTCATATTAATATAACAGTAACTCAGCATTAGTTAATATTAAATATAAAAACACACTTATTACAAGTTTACTAGTTTGTGTACAAAGTGATGAAGAGAAAATGTCCTGTGATCAATATTAAAGTTTATTTGGTTTGAATTTAAAGTTTTGCTGCTTTATGAATCTTAAAGATAAATTGTGCTCAGAAATCAATCAAATCAAATGAATGATAATTAGTATAAAATAAGGCAACAGGCAGGATTCAAAGTTTAAATCTCTTCTTTATTTTCTTTTAGTAGAAAATTAAACATTTACATTTTGGCGGTTTTGGAGGAATCACAGAACCTTAAACTGACTGTTGGGTTTGTTTGTAACGATAAGCCGGAGAAAAGAAACAGGACAGTGTGGATTCATCTCTCTGCTCTTACACAACATAAAACAACTGACTGGATCAAGACCTGAACCAGGATCA